TCAGCCCAAATTCACTCTGCAGAGCTGATTTCTCTCTTACCCTGCACTTTTAATTTTTTAAATAAACTTTGTCACTGTTTTCGCCTGTTTTGTTTAATTTGCTGCCCTAGACAGAAAGAACCTAGAAGCCAGGACATGAACATCCCAAAACCTGATAACGGAAACCACTACCACCACCCCCAGTGGTGACTGGGGATCTGTGGTGAGCAGCCAAGAGCTACAGTCATCAGCACCCAGGCTTTAACTGTGCAAACACGTAGCATCTAACAAACAGGAAAATAGGCTCTCAGTTATTTCAGCGTTCAGGCTGGTGACAGGAGTTGTAAAATCTGAAGGAAGCAATTTACTCAATAGCTGTGAGCTCCCTTCCCCACTGTCCTCAGAAAATGTTAATAAGCAAGTGAACCGGGGGTGGTGTCACACGCCTGGAAACCCAGCGTTCAGGAGGCTGAGGCAGGAGGATCGCTGCACATTTGAGGCCAGCCTGGACAACATAGTAAGACCCTGTCTTTAGGAAAAAAAAAAAAAAAAAGAGTGAATCAACCTTACACCAAGCTAGCCACATCTCTTTTGGAAGAAGCTACCAGGGCTGACTGGAGACAAAGCATAGCCCTTGGAATCAGGGGATTTGGGCTTTGGACTTAGCAGTATCACCGACCACCTTGAGTGAGTCTCTTCCCAACTTTGAGCCTTGAGATTTTTATTTGCAAGCATGTGCTGCCTGCCTCAAAGCAGTGTTGTAAAAAGGAAGTGTGATCGCAGGGGTGGGGGAGATAAAAGGCTTGATAAACACTAATGCACTTGGTAAATTGAAATGGGTTTGCTCAGCTCAGTGGCACACACCTGAAATCTCAACTCCTCAAGAGGCTGAGACAGGAAGATCACAAGTTTGAGGTCAGGCCGGACAACTTAATAAGACCCTGTCTGAAAATAAAATTGGAAAAGGACTGGGAAGTAGTTCAGCGGTAGAGTGCTTGCCCAGCATATGCGGTGCTCTAGGTTCAGTCCTTAGTCCTGTGAAACAAACTGACTACAATGGACTTTATAAACTCTAAAGGGCTCTACACAAATTTTTTACATACTTCTCCCATCAATCAGCTGAACTCAACTCCTGCAGAACTAAGGGAGTGGGGGCGGGGCAGCTGAGGGGTGTCCTTCCCCACATATTCCCGCCCATACATAGTCTGGTTCCAGAATCCCCGTGGCTGAAGACCCCCAGACACATACCAACCCCTCGGCTTCTTTTTTTTCTTCTTCTTCCTCTTTTCTTATTTTCTTTTCCCTTTTTGTATTGAAGATGGAACCCAGGGCCTTCACACTGGGCTACCACCCCAGCCCTTTTACATTTTAATTTTGAGTCGGGGTCTTAGTAAATTGATCCTCCTGCCTCGGCCTCCAGGAGTGCTGGGATTACAGGTATTCACCACTCTGCTTGGCTAACATCAGACATTCTTATGTCACCAGCCTCTCATGTGCTGGGATTACAGGCAAGCACCACCAGGCCCAGCTCAGCTAGCTTTGTCAGTGAATCTGCTTCTGCTTCAGGGAATTGCTGGACAATACCAGGCCACCTGCAGGCCTCAACCCAGGCACACATGGACATAGCCAGAGCCAGTTCCGGGTCTGCCCCACACAACCAGATGTGCATGCATGCATGCGTGTGCACACACACGCACACACACAGAGACACAAGAGGCTTCTCCCCACTCTCACCAGGCTGCTGAAGACACAGGGGCTGCTCAGTGGCTGTGCTGCAGCCCACATTCGCCCTTTGGGAATCGGCTCCACTCCCAGCACGAGAGGTGTGTCCCTGCCAAGGCCAGTCCTGAGCGCTCCCGGGGTCTGGCTCCGCTGCTGCCCCTCCCAAGCCCACACCCAAATCCAAGCTGCCCCCGAAGCCAGTGTGGCAAAGGGAGGATGCCACCGAACAGGGGAGACTGGACTGCCCTCCGTGTTTACAGGAGGGGAGCTCCGGGTTATCCATAAAAGGAAGTGGGGGGGTCTCCGGTTCCCCTTAAAAGGATAAGGGTCCCAGTCTCTCACACATCCCTCTCCTACATGCACCAATCAGGAGGAAAAAGGTCAGTCCCGAAGGCACATTTTGTCACTAATGCCATGGACTATAAACCCGTCCCCCAAACCTTCACTGATCAGATGGGGAAACTAGGGTTGCTTGAGGTGACCCCAGGGTCGGGGCAGGGTGGGGCCGTGGCTCACTGTCCATTTCCTATCCACTACAGCATACTACTTTATCATCTACTCAAGGTACGCTTTTTGGTTGTGTGTGTGTGTGTGTGTGTGTGTGTGTGTGTGTGTGTGTGACAGGTTCTAAATTGCTAAATTACCCAGGCTGGGCTTAAATCTGCAATCCTCCAGGCTTGGCCTCCCAGATTACTGGGATTATAGGTGTGTAGTTATAATCAATGCATATTTCTTTTTCTTTTTCTGTTTTTTTTAAACAGGGTCTCACCGTGTAGTTCAGGCTGTTCTTGAACTCACTATGTAGCCCAGCCTGGCCTTGAACTTGTGACAATCCTCCTGAGTCAACCTCCTAACTGCTGGGACTACAGGCATACACCACCATGCCCGGCTCAAAGCATGTTCTTTTTTTCTTTTGGTACCAAGAATAGAACTCAGGACCTTGGGCTTGCCAAGCAGGTACTATGCCACTAAGCTATATCCCCAGCCGTGTTTTATTTTTTTGAGACAGTCTTGTGTAGTCCAGGCTGGTTTTAAACTCACTATGTAGCCCATGCTGGCTTCAAACTCCCAGCAATCCTCCTGCCTCTGCCTCCCAAGTGCTGGGATATGGGCATGGCCACCATGCCCAGCCTCAATGCATGTTCGTAAACAGCTACCACATACCAAACTCTGCTAAGGGGAAGGAACAAAACAAATTCCTCATCCTTGATGCATTTACAGTAAGAATTACGGGGCCAGTCTTACTAGTGACATGTTAGCTCATGTTTGCACGTCATTTTACTATTGACAAAGTACTTCCCACCACCCTCTTCATTCTGCCCACAAACCCACAAGATTAGTCTTTTAATTCCCATTCAGCAAAGAAGAGTAGGCTCCTGAATTGCTCAAGCTCCCAGCACTTATAAGGAAGAAATCAAATCAAAACCCTGAGTGGGCCAGGCTGGTGGTGCACATGTCTATAATCCCAGCACTCAAGAGGCTGAGGCAGGAGAATTGCCATGAGTCTTGAGGCCAGCCTGGGCTACAAAGTGAGTTCAAGACCAGCCTGAACTACATAGCGAAACCCTGTCTCAAACACAAAACAAAACCCTGGATGCCCACACAGGCCCACAGCCAGCTACCACCCCAGCTAACTTCTTTCTCTAGCTCAGTTGTTAGTACCCAAAGATAAAGAAGTCACTTTTTGTTGCTTCCCTGGCAGTCACTTTCCTTCTGACATACACACAGACTTAAGCATCTGGAACATAGCTGGATATTTTCAGTCTGTGCTAAATGAGAGCTGGCTGATGCCTGGGGGACAGCTAACCCTTTCTCTGATTGCTCCCAGCTGAGTGAGCCCCTGGCCAGCAGCTCTGCTTTGCCAGCCCCACATCTGGGCAAGGGTAGCAGCCCGAGCTTGGTGGCCAGCACCTGACACCTGAGGCTGAAACTGGTTGTAAAACTGGTCTTTTGCACCAATAATCTGGTTACCCTCCTCACTCCCCGGGGAAGCCCAGAGTGTAGGGAGCTCCTAAATACCAGCCCCACACCCAACCCTTTAGCTCTCCTGACGGTCCTGCCAGGGTGTTGGCATTATCCTGGTTTGTCAGTGGAATAAACTGCACAGAAGGCAGGGAATAACCTGCCCAAGATCACACAGCTTGTAAAGCAGAGGGCATTCAGCTCCCTGAGATCTAGCAGCCCCTTCTCATTGCTACCCTCACCTCCCAGGGAGACCTCTGAGGTCCCCTTAGTCCTGCCTTGGCCTCAGAGAATTAAAGAGGGGCGCTGGATCCCCTGGCAAATTCTATTCACAAGAAGTTCCGAATGGTCGGGCATGATGGCACACACCTATCATCCCAGCACTCAGGAAGCTGAGGCAGGCAGATCGTTATGAGTTCGAGACCAGCCTGGGCTACAAAGGGAGCTCAAGGCCAGCCTGAACTGCATAGTGAGACCCTGTCTCAAAAAGACCAAAAAAAAAAAAAAAGAAAAGAAAGAAAAAAGAAGTTCTGAACGTGAGACTCCAAGCCAGAGAAAGGTGTCAGAATAGTCCCTTAAAATCAGAATCACCCACAGCAATACATGCATCCATGTTTATAGCAGCACAATTTATAATAGCTAGATCTTGGAAACAACCCAAATGTCCATCAACTGAAGAATGGATAAAAAAGATGTGATCTTTTTATACAATGGGGTACTACTCAGCCATAAAGATAAACTGGAAAGAAGGATAAGTTTGAGGCTTTTATAGGTAAATGGATGCAACTCGAGACCATACTCATAAGTGAAATAAACCAGACGCACATGTGCGAATATTGTATTGTCTCCCCAGTGTGAGAAGCTGAAAGCGTAAATAAGATACAACATGTACAGTAGATATTGTAAAATGGGAAGAAACTTCAAAAGGAAAGAGAAACTGAGATGGGGAAAAGGGGAAAAGAAGGAAAAGAAGGAAAAGAAATATATATATAAAGATATTTAAGAAATATATATATATATAAAGATAGTTAAGATAGTCATACTACAAATTTCTCTCAGTTCATTGAAAAGAAAGGTTAGTGCTAATATTGTCTGGAAAATTAAATGCCGATATCTTGTACTCTGAGTAACTAATTTAAAGATAACTCCAGAGTGTTTTAACCATTGTTACCCTCCTATTATCTTGTTTTGAAATTTAGTTATTTTTGTTCTTTAAAATAAAAAATAAAAAAAAGAACCATCCATTTGCTTAGGTGAAGCGTGGGGTCCGAGCCGGGCCTCCTGAGGTCATTTTCCGGGCCTTCCCCCTGCCCGGCCGGAGCGAGGACCCCGCTTACCTGCAGCAGCAGCAGCAGCAGCAGCAGCAGCAGCAGCGGCTCGGCTGTAGCGTCTGTTGTCTCCCTGGGTCCACCCTGGCCCCAGCCTCCGTGCTGCCGTCTGGCAATTGCAGAAGTGAAGAAACAGCCGATCGCTGCCAAGTCACCCCCAAGAGGAAATGCACTGACCCTGGGGCCCCTCCAACAGACGCCACAGGAACCTCCAAAGCAGGCCACCCGGGCCCGGGCACTGCACAGAGGCTTCTCGAAGAGCAAGGGACGGGTGCGGTGTGGGCAGCGGCCACAGGGTCAGCGGCTGAGGTGAGGGAGAGAACGCAAGACAGTGCTCAAGTGTGCTCTCGGGAGAGACCCACGAGGGAGCAGGGGAAGTGAGCGACCGGCCGATGACGAGGGAGCGGGAGGGCGGGAGGGCGGCGGGAAGAAGAAGAAAGGACGGAGGGAGAGATGCGGGCAGAACAACGATGTGAACACGAGGACGCAGCCTGAGAGGAGTAAGGCGATACAGGGACAGCAACGATCAGGAAGGTAAAAGAGAAAGAGATGAGACACACACAGCGAGGGTGCGGCTGCGCAGGCACGGGTGTCTGTGTCCCTGTGTGAGGAGAGAAAGGAGCAGGAGGGGGACGAGGAGAGGAGCCCAGAGCGGCGACGGTCAGTGAAGTGAGTGGGCAGGAGATCCCTGGTGACCACAAAGTGCTGCGTCCAGGAAACCTCGGAGGACACGGTGCTGGGGAGGGGACTCCCAAGAGTCCAAGCTGGAGCCTGGCAGAGAGTTCACGGGAGAGGGTGACTGAGCGTGAAGAAAGAGGTGTCAACAGTTGAGGGTGTGAGCACAGCTGAGAGAGGGAGAGAGGAGGAGGAGAGAGGGAAGAAGAAAGAGAGCCTGAGAGAGAGAGATTTCCTGGGTATGCGGGTGTGGCTCAGCAGCACGGTGCCTGCCTGGCAAGCACAAGGTCCTGAGTTCGATTCTCAGTTCAAAAGAAAAGTTTTCCTGGGTACACGAAGTTTCCAGTCCTTACCCACGCACTCATCCCCTCAACCAACAACACTTACCCACCGCTCTGGGTGCCAGGCCCTGTGGAGGGCTGTCTAAGAAAGCAAGCCCCTCGGCTGTCAGCTGATCCATTACTCTCCTACACAGAGAGGGAAACTGAGGCCCAGAAAGGACCAGAGCCCAGAGCAAGGCAGGTGCAAAGCTGAGCCGGGAGTGTGATCCTCCTGGCCCCAAGACAGTGTCCAGCTTCAGTCTACCTTGGGGGTCAGGATTAGCCCCCTTCTACCACTCAGGCCCCCTGCTGTCCCTGATCAAAGCCAAAAATGGCTCTTTTAAGGTCAAAACATCTTTAATATGTGCCTTAGCCCTAAAGAACTAGAGCTAAACTGGGTGTGGTGGTGCACACCTGTAATCCCAGCACTCAGAAGGCTGAGGCAGGAGGATCACCATAAGTTCCAGGCCATCCTCGGCTACATAAGCGAGTTCAAGGCCAGCCTCAACTACACATCGAGACTCTGCCTCCAAAAAAAAAAAAAAAAGAAATAGAGCTAAAAATGTGCCCTGGGTCCTGCACACGCAGACACACTCAAAGCACTTATGTATTTGGCCCTTGCACACTGACACATCCTCAGCACAGCCACTCAGGTACACGCCTATTGTGACTCTTCTCACTCACACCTGCCCAGACACACCGCCTTCCCCGTGCCCGAGCACGCACACTCACCCACCCTGGGCAGCTAGTCCCAAAGGCAGCCCCATCCTTGGTCGGAGACATTGACACAGCTCACCCCTCCTTGCTTCCCTCACAGGCCTTTGAACCTAGAATGGCCGGTGACACAACGTGACATGGGCTTGTTCACTGCACGTCGTTGCTGTTGTTGTTTGCATGGGGGTCTCCCGATGATGCCTCCCAGGCTGGCCTCCAACCTCTGGGCTCAAGTGATCTTCCCACCTGGGCCTTCCCAGTAGCTGGATCCCCGGGCCACCGCACCCAGCTACCTGCTCACTGCACTTGGCCTTCGCTCAGGCTCTCTTTTAAGGTCAAAGCATCTTTATTATGTGCCTTAGCCCTTTATTATGTGCCAGAGCCCAGCTCTGCATGTAGAGCCTCCTTCCCAAAACGACCTCCCCTCCTCAGCCCTCCTCCGGCCGCCACCCTCCACGAGAGACATAGAACTGGGAATCAAACAGCCTCCATTGGAGTCCCCAGGACCCCGAGCTCAAGGTCTAGGCTGGAGGTGCAACTCAGTGGTCTAGCACTTGCCTAGCAAGCGTGCGCTGGGTTTGATCTCCAGCGCCACACAAAAAGAAAAAGAAAAAAAAAAATCTAGCCTGTTTTCCAGTAGTGCCTTCCGCAGGCCCATACGGCAATTGCATATAAGTACCTGTTCTGAGACTGTCAATAAACAAGGTAGGAAGCCCATATTATCAATGTTTTAAAAGTGAGGAAATTGGAGTTGACTATTTGTTTCTCTTACACCCCATTTCCAATCTGTCAAAAACTCCGTCAGCTCTACTTTACCATATATTCAACTTTGCATCTAAATAAGCCTTCAGAGTTAACCTTCAGTTGTCAGGAAATATAAAGGACAAAGGCCCCCAAAGGGAAGCAATCAGTCAAATAACTCAGTTATTTCTTTTTTTTTTTTTTTTTTTTTTTTTTTTTTTTTTGGTTTTTCTCAGGTACCAGGAACCAAACTCACGACCTTGCACTTGCCAGGCAGGCGCTTTGCCGCTGAGCTAAATCCCCAGCCCCTTAAGTCAGTTATTTCAACAAACCACATGAAAACAACCAAACAAACAGACAAAGCAGGGACTGCTCCAGACTAAATGGGATTTAAGAGCTATGCAGATCCAATAATACAACGTATGGGGCTGGGGATTTAGCTCAGTGGCACAGCGCCTGCCTGGCAAGCGCAAGGTCATGAGTTTGATTCCCAATACTGGAAAACAAAAAAAAAAAACACAATAATACAACATATGTCTCTTTTTGGAACCTGAAACACCAGCTCAACCGTAAAAAAAAAAAAAGACAGCTATGTGTCAACTGGGGTCCTGGACCAAGAGGGCACAGCCCCCGAGGCAGGCACGGCGGCATCCTGGGGACGGGGCTTGGGGAGAAAGATGTGGGCAGGCCAAAGGCGCACAGGAACGGTGCGGTCTTGGGAGACCACCAAGAGCGCAGCGCCCTCCCCTCTGCAGGAGGAGGCCGGGAGCACCCCCTGGCATCACAGAGGGTGGCTGTGGGCTGGGGAGGACCGCTGGGACGGAGCTGGGACCTGCGGTACAGAGCTGTGGCCCACCCTCCGTTACCTGCCAGAGAGGGAACAGGAAATACCTGCACCTCTCTCCTTCGGTCAGGTGAGGTCTCACCTGCGCCGAGCCGGAACGAGGCCCGCGTGGTTGGCCGCTAGGGGCAGCATGGGGTGGGGAAAGGAGCGCGTCAGTCTGGAGGGAAGAGCTGATGTCCTGGACTGGCGTATTCGGGAAAATCAGAGAAACTGGAATATGGGTAGGATGTCAGGTGACTCTAAGGCACTATTGTTAACTTTATTAGGTGGTCATTGGTTTATGGTTATATAATAAAATGTCTGTATATGGAAATATTTAAAGATGAAATTACAGAGGCTTGCTTTAAAATATTACAGCAAAGCTGGGAGTGGTGGCGCACACCTGTGATCCCAGCACTTAGGAGGCTGAGGCAGGAGGACTGCTGAGAGTTCCAGGCCAGCCTGGGCTACACAGTGAATTCAAGGCCACCCTGAACTGCCTAGTGAGAAAGAAAAAGAAAAATGGGAAGGAAGAAGAGCTGGAGGAAGGAAAAGAAAAAACAAAGGAAGAGAGGAAGAACAGAAATAGATAGTGTGGCCAAATACTGATTTTTCTTGAACCTGGGAGTGGTAATGCAGCAGGCTGACTACAGGATATCAGGTCCTAATCCCTAGGGGGTGTAAATGTCTTGTTTTGTTTTGGTTTTTTTTTTTTTTTTTTTGGTTTTTTCTCTGGTACCGGGAACCGAACTCAAGACCTTGCGCTTGCCAGGCAGGCGCTTTTGCCGCTGAGCTAAATCCCCAGCCCCCCTAGGGGGTGTAAATGTCACCTTATATGGCAGCGATTTTGCAGATGTGATTAACGGCCTGGAGGGAGGAGATGGTCCTAGATTATCCACGTAGGCCTTAATATAATCACCAGTATCCAACTGCCAGGGAGACTGAGGGAGATGTGACCACAGACAGGAGGAGAGTGGTGTGGCAACAAAGAAAGAGCGACCAGGAAAGACAGTAGCTGCCAGACAGGCTGGAGACACAAATTCCTAGGACCTAGGAGGGAGCCTGCGGAGCCTGCATGGCCCCACGGGTTCATCATGGGCTTTGGGTCTCCAGAACCATCTAAGAACCAATGTGCATTTTGTTGTGTGTCATCAAGTTCGTGACAACTTGAAAAAAAAAACTTCGTGACAACTTGTTACAGCAGCCAAAGGAAACTAATGCAAGTATATTGGTATTTATGGTACTCTTCGTATCATTGAAAACTTCCCTAATCAAGCCGTATTTATGCACTCACAGATCTCAGTATTATCTACAGAAAAGTGTTGCTAAGGAAGCAGAAATAAAATCAAGTTCAACCACAGTTTAGAGGAAATATAGAGAGAAACAAATTGTACGGACACACTCAACAAACCCAGACAGTATGAAATGCTACAAACAACCTAGTTTTGTTTCTGGGTTTTTTGTTGTTGCTGTTGTTCATATGTTAAGACAAAGTCTCACTATGTAGTTCAGGCTGGCCTTGAACTCATGGCAATCCTCCTGCCTCAGCCTCCCAAGTACTGGGATGACAGGTGTGTACCACAATGCCTGGTTTGTTTTTGTTTTTGTTTTTGTTTTTAATTTATTTGTGCATGTGTGTGTGTGTCTTTTTGAAAAAGGGCCTCACTGTGCAGTTCAGGTTGGTCTTGATCCTCCTGCCTCAGCCTCCTGAGTGATAGGATTAAAGGCATGTGCCACTACACCCAGCCTGTTTTGTTTTAATATGTAAACGCTAAAGGACAAAAGATCATGAAGAGCCGGCAATAGTGGCACAGGCCTGTAATCTTAGCACTCTGGGAGGCTGAAATAGGAGGATCATAAATTCCAGCCCAGCCCAGGCAATTTCACAACTTACACAGACCCTGTCTCAAAATAAGAAATAATAAAAGAACAAGGGATACAGCTCAGTCTGAAGGCCCCTGAGTTCAATCCCTAGTACAGAAAAGAAGAAGAAGAAGGGGAAGGAGCAAAAGGAGGAGGAAGAGAAGGAAA